TAGCAAGGCTTGTGTGTCGGCTGTAGCCATCCTGTACTTACCAGCAGTTAGCTGCGCCCCTCAACTGCGCATCCGTGTTTGGCTCTGCCCCTGTATTTCAATGGGGCGAGGCCTTCAGGAGTCATATGATGGGGCTGCTCGGTCTAAAATTCACACTCCTATTTTTTATCTCAGTTCGGCCCTGTTCACATGGGTGTTTGTCCACCCTGCAATTGAACAGTGGATCTTTAAAGGACTTCTGCATAGGTTGTCCCTTAGACATTGTGCTCCTCTAACTGTAATGGCTTGTAATCTATCCCACAAACGTGACAGCAGTTTTGCTTGGAGATTGGCTGCTCAGGCTTCCAGATTGTCAGCTGGGGCCAGGGAGAGAGTTATTAGGGACGTGGAGGTTATTCAGAGCTACCTTTCTTTGCTCATTGCAGCTGAATGAAAGGGCAGGGGAGTGAAGGTGTCTATGTGCAGCTGATGGGCTGGCATTTAAGTGATCTGTTTTGCCCTGCAAATCCCTTAGAGACAGCTATTGCAAAAACACAACTCTGATTTCTTGCCTACAGTAAAACAAGGTTTTCAGGTCTCTCTCATCTTAGGCCTCATATTTGCCTTTGGAGAACCATTTATTATGCAGCAGTCACACATTTTGCTGATTTTCTTTTTAAAACAATGGTTGCCTAGCTGTCCCTGGCTACGGCCTTAATTATGTATACAGAATATCAGTCTGGATTGAATTCGTAAGAGCCGATCTGCTTAATTTTTCATGTCAATGATTTATAACACACTAAACTCCCCGTTATCCGGCATCCGTGGGGATTGGTAGATTCTGGATAAATATAGTTTCTGGTTGCTTGTGAGTTACTATTAAAAATAGGTCTAACTAATGCCATACCCCATACTATATCATATACTCTGCATTGACTTCATATTAATATTGAAATGCAGTAATTAACCCCTTCATGACTGAGGCCTTTTTTTTCATTTTTTGTACCCATGTTATATTCCACATTTTAGGCCTGAAAATTACTTAAAACCCCCCAACATTATATATTTTATGAATGCCAAGATCCTATAGAATAAAATGGTGGTAGTTGCAAATTTTTATGTTGTGCAATATTAGCGCAACTCCTGATTAAACTCCAATATTTAGTGACAAATTAAATCTCTACAGCTCGCGGTATACTGAGCCTAGGGTGACGGGAGGACGCTAGTTTGTGTCCTCCCGTTACCCTAAGGAGAACTATTGGGAAAAGCCTTAACCCCATAGTTCTCCTTTAAGACAAATAGACACACATAAAACAAATTAAGACAAATAGGCACACAATCATTTCCAGGATAATACATACTGCAGATCAGTAGAACAGTGAGTACACAGGGACTTTTTTTTCGGTTAGATGAGAGTTCTGGTTAATTGAATACCAGATAACAGAGAGTTTATTGTATAATGAAGCCAGTTCATAATAACAGCAAGGCATTTTCAGAGGGACGGATCAGCAATGAAGGCATGCATATTTCCGGCAGCAAAGTTTCCTTTCTGGAGGCATAGACATTAAATAGGATTCTGACATGCAAGGATAAGCCGACAATTAGTAGAGGCCTGTGGCCACGGGGTTCAAGTCACCTGAATGTGTATGCCTATTGAGTTTGAAGGGGGCTGGAGCTGGCAGGTATCTTTTGACACTAACTTATCTTAGCGAACAGAATTGTATTTGGATAAGGTTTTTATTAAACCTGAATGATCAATCCTTTTTTTTTCACATTTATCACATCTTATGCAGAAAGATTATGGATATAATAGCATCATTCACACAAATGTGCTCTGTTGTGCAAGTATTGAATAATTATGTCACATTTTGGGTATATGTTAACATATACTCGAAATACGTATGTAGCATAAATAACACATATATTTTAGGTATGAACCCAGCTTAAGTACAGTCAGCTGCCAATGCCTGCTGTGCTTGTGGACATGTAAATATCTTCTGTTCTTCACGTTGCTGAACCTCTCCTAGTGTAAAACATGCAGTTATGGGAAGGTTCGTGCATGTTATCTTGATTACAAAAGGAACAATTAAGTAGGGTTTCTTGTTCTGTTTCCCCACATGTCCCCCCCTTTCTTCTTGTTTACTTAGTCAATATTCTGACTTGATAGGATTTCACTCTCCCAAAAAAATCAATATACACTCATTAAAGAAGAGCAATACTCTGTATTATCAAACAGATGGAGACCGTGTGTTGCATTTTAAAAATCATTTTGAACTTCTTTTAAATCTCCCCTTGGGTTGATTTTATTGCAGATGTTAACCATCCTTGTCCTTTTGCATTGAATATTTATCTGAACATTTACATATTAGTGATTGCATTAAACAGGTTAAATAGTAAATATTGTATGTATGTATTTATGTATGTATGTATATATATATATAGATCTAGATCTATATCTATATATGCATATATATAGATATATATGCATATATATATAGATATATATGCATATATAGATATAGATATATATATATATACGTGTGTGTATGTATGTGTGTAAATATATATATTTATATATGCGTGTGTTATAGTAAATGTTCTATTTGTAATACTTGTCTGTTAAGGTTTTAATTATATGGATAGTGTTCTCAATTTTTGAGGGTTCTGATAGTGATACGCTAGTGGGCCACATGTAGGAAACAAATGTATCTTCTTCATTTTCAGCTGACTAAAAAGGGAGCAGCACACAATGCATTTCTTGGAAATTGATGCATCTGATGTATTCAGCTCCGCAATATACCGTAGGAATGATTAGAAGTAATTTAGTGTGTAGCTGCAAGATATACAATTTTGTGTGTATTTTGCATGGGGCTTAAGTCAGACTGCTACTGATGATTGCTCTGGCCCTCCTGCAGCTTGTGCTTTGTGAATAGAAGTATTGGATGCTGGATGATTGGAAAATCATTGCCTTGTCTGATGATTCATTTTCCCTGATGTTTAATTCTGATGAGAAGGCTGTAATATAAAGCCCAAAGGCTATCTATCAAGCAGTTTGTGATGTCCTTATTGCAGGCAGGAAGAAGGGTTGACAACATTTCTACTGATTTTGTTATCTTGCAAAATTTATGAAAACATGTGATTTCCCTGCTACTAAAGTTCAATTGTCACATCTAGCTAATTATTTTGAAATCCTATCAGAAAATGGTATTTAGATCTACTATTGCTATTTATTTTCGTCAGTATTGCATCTTGGTAATTTCCTTTACTTAGTTTTAAAGGATGGGTTTTTCTCCATACATGTTCAATAACATGCATGCTATTCAGCAAGGAAAACCTTCGGGCTTTCTCCTGGCCCTACTCTGGATAAGCTGGGCAGCCAGACTTTTAGATCCACTAATCATCCATAGTGTTCACATTTAGTCCCTGCAGGAGAGGAAACAGTGATATGACAACTCCAACAAAACATCTGCTAACTGCCACGAACAGTGTATACGTAGGAGACATTCCACTAATGAGAGAAATACTAAAAGGATTGGTTTTGTCTGATGTAATATCTCTCTCATGTAGCCATATGAGAGAGCCATATAGGTACAAAGTGCTTATTCTGATGTTTTGTTATGTGCCTAAGAAAGGCACAAGTGTAGAAGTCAATGTCCATTGGTAAACACTTTTAGACATAACCCACAATATTCAAAGTAGTGAAGTGCAAGGAGAGTAAAATATACTGTTTCCATAGCTTTACAGCTGGTGAGGGACAACTCAGCTATCCCATGGCGTCTCGTTATATGCGAAAGATGAGCGATCAGATAACTGCTGACTGCTCAGCTCACAGTCTATTCTTCCTGTAGAGAGTAGTGACTGTCAGTCACCGCTCCCCATGGATATCCCTCTCTGTTCCTCCAGCTCTCACTGGATGGGCAGACAGAGGAGGGGGGCAATCACAAGCCAGCCTCTCTAGAGCCAGAGCCAGCTGTCGGTTAGGCAGCCAGGGTGGATCCTGACAATATTATCAGGATCCTTCCTGGCTGTGAAGCAGCTCTGTGCTGTCAGTAGCATCACTCTTTGAATCACACAAGTACATTATAATTAATATTATTATTATTGTTATTATTATACAGGATTTATATAATGCCAACAGTTTGCGCAGCGCTTTACAATATAAGGCAGACATTACAATCATAATGCAGACATTACAATCATAATACAATTCAAGACAAGATGGTAAGGAGGGCTCTGCCCCTGAGGGCTTACAATTTAAAAGGGAGGGACAAGTGATACATGAGGAGGTAGCTGGGTGGGGTGAATTGTTTGAGTAAATAGTAAATATTAGTAAATATACTCCCGTGACCCAGCAAAGCCAAAAAAAAAGTTTCAATATTGTGAATGTTATATTTCCAGCAATATAAAATAGTTGTTTACATAAAAGCCATACAGCATGTCCATGGTTATGTGAGCTAATACAGATGGTAGGGAAAACAAAATGATATGCCAATATTTTCCATTATGTCCACTCTGCAAAGTCATTATTGTCTATTACACCCACACATAATTATATAAACATCTCTCAAGTAGCATCTTCTTAGACACCGATACACTACTTTATTCCTGGTTGAGGGGATTCATGTATTAGTAACCTGAAGGTTTATCTCGGGGCTGAAAACCATGACTCATAGAAGAAACAACCTTATGAAAGCAGCAAGAAAGAGATCTTCTAATTTAGTATAGGTCAGTGGATCTTACCAAGGCTTGATACCTTTTTCTATGAACATGTGGTACAGTGTACATTTTCACACCAATATAACGAAAATGTTTGACATTCTAAAAGCCCATGTAAATAAGAAAATTTTGGGTAGATCATCTGCATTTTAAATGTATGTTGTGTTCAACATGAAAAAACAGAGAATTATTTACTTAGATAGTAAGTATGCTTGTTATAGATTAATTTAAACCAATTATAGTCACCTAAGCTATGCCTAAAATATGTGCACTGAACATTAATAGGTGCTTTTTTTTTCCTGCAGCCACCATGCATTTCAGTCTGTTTAAGAAGAAGGCAGAGCCTCCTGAAGCTCACACGATGGAGCCTAGCACAGAGCCACCTATTGTCTCCCAGGAGAACTCAACTGCAGTGGCTAGCCCTGGAGACAAGAGTGCAGACACTTTCAGAAAGATCCAACAGGAGCTTATGAACCAGATCAACAAGATTCCCTGTGAGTACATACCATGTAAAAGCCATTTATGTCAATTACATTTTTTTTACAAATCCATATCCAGGACCAAAGAAGAACATTCAACGTGAATATCCAGTATGAAAATGCATAAAAGGACACAGGCAACTGGATGCTGGCTTTTGGGTACATCACAGCACATTATACTCTCCACTGTTTTCTACAGTCAGCATTTCTTGCATAAGACATAATTCTTAGGGTTGAAGTTTACAAAGTAGAGAATGAGTGGCAAACATTGTAGCCTCATTGAAAGCCACTACAAAATTGTTTTCATTAATAACAAAAGGTAAACTGGGTGGTCTTTAAACCCAGCTCCAGGTTTTCTGGGCTTGTATACGTTTTCCTTTCATACATACTTTTTCTAGATGTCTGCAGTTCGGTCTTCAGTCACACAATTCACCAGATCTTCTTTCCAAATAAATCTTTTCCTGGCATTGGGCTGTCTTCGATGAGGCAAAAGGAGGGTGTGCTCTTGTCTGCATTAATAAACTATGTGTGCAGGACACTTTTGCGATACCCTCTCAGTGGATGGTGCTTTGCACTAACAGTATATCCTTAGACTTCATTTAGCCCAGAAGGCTGAGTACATCTTGTAGTGGAAAGCAATTATTGCGGGGGACAGGTGAGTATTACAGCAAGCGAGCTTCCTTTTTTTTTTTCTTTTTCTTTTTTTACACTTCCAGCTTAGCTGCAGTATTTATAGGTTAGCATTCACAGTTCATGGTGTGTGTTTACTTAATGCCTGGCTTTACTATTTTTTACTTAAAATGAGCACGTGCTGATTTTCAAACCTCTAAAAGTAAATGTCCAACCAATGAAAAAGTGTGACAACATATACTGTATCATTACCTTAATATTGAGTCAGTATGTACCTAGTAGCAATGAAAAGTTAGAGGCTTTCCTGCCTAGCAGATCTTAAGGGGTGTTCTCTTAGACAAGAATTTTGGTAATAAAATGGAGCACAGATTCATTTTAGGAGAAATATATAAGCCTTTATTTAAACTAGTTTATCAAACATATTAGCATACTAAATCTGTTTATTGCTGTTTAGGTGCCACTTTCAGTATATTATGTGTACTTTTTTGGTCAATTCTCTTTTTAGGTTGTATGTACATTATATTGTAAACAATAGAAAATAACAGGAAGAATAAAACATGTTGTTGGCAAATACATTTAAAGTAGAGCCTCCCATGTAACAAATTATGTGCTGCAGCATTTAAGTACATCACTTTTCTCTTCAAGGTCCAACAAATACCTGTTGTCTCTGCCAGTGAAGTCCACTTAATGCATCTTTCGGTGGTAAGGCAACAATGCTGCACTGCTCATGAATACAAAGCAGACTTGCGAAGTCTTATGTAAGCTGTGTTTGCTTGCACTACAGTAGTATGAAAAAATGTTGAAGTGAGCATTGCTGGCTATTAGCATTGTCAGTCCTGTTTCACAAGCCAGGCTGATTTACAAGCCTGGTCACACTTAGTCCTACCTACTGCTTCCTTGATTGACAGCACTGGTTGTCAAATCAGCTGCTGACAAGCCTGAAGAACTCTCATCACAACTAAATACAACTTTCAAGCTGCAGGACTGTAGTACACATACATGATTTCTCTCATTAAGCCCTGATAAAGGGGGGAAGTGTTTTGGGCCCCCTGAAATGCGTTGGCTGCTCTACTTGAATGTCCCCTGACCCTAATGGAATAAAGTTGTATCTAAACTATTTTAATTAGTGTGGCGTTTTAATTCTAAATCTTCTGCATTCACTGTAGAGCCAAGGATATTGTGGAGATCGTTTGGATTGCTGTATAGCTGTTAGCCAGATCACACAAATTTATATCACTTAACTACTGTTGGATGAGTAACACCAAGAGAATAACAACACAGGTCCAGTGCTTGCTTTCCACACTTCTGAAAATGTATCATTCCAGAGACTTTGAAGGGAAATTTCTAACCAATTCCAGTTCTCATTTAAACATTGTAGGTGTCTTGGTGAAGGATATACAGGTGATTAGCATGTTATAAAATAAGGATATACCCTTAGGGCATTGATTGAGATTATTTAGGAACTGGAAGATGGGGAGGTTGATGTGAAACTCTGTTCCGATAAGGTGCTTCTGAAGGAAATGATAGAGCTGCAGATATCGATAGTGTTCCGAAATGGGAAGGTTGAGTTGTATGTAAAGTGAATCAAAGGATTTAATTCTACGGTTAAAGAATTGTTGGTGGAGGTTGGTATTTCCACATCTAATAAACTTTTGGAGGTGTAGGTTTACAATAAAGTATTCTTTAGTAGCTAGAGGTGTATTAATGTTCTTAGTGGGAGATGTATGGGGTGTATGCAATTTGTATTAGAGCCAAGCTTTGAGTGTCGTTTAAATTGTAGGATAAATACTAGAAGGAGAAGGGAAATTCCAGTTTATTGATCATACATCACAGCACATGACACAGAGAGTTAAATTCTTTGACCACTGAGTTATGCATCTAACTTCAGGTGATTGGACACTGGGAAATCAACCAAAGCTGCAGGAACCGCCCTACGTAACCCCTCTCACTCTCAGTCTAACTGAACACCTTTTTTTTAATCTCTGAGAGAAGTAAACCTTTTTACACTATTTTTTTCTCTACTTCTTTTGCGCAAGATTCTTCCAGCAAGTTTCCCTAAGCTGCTTAATGCCACTGCGGTGCCTCATAGCAGCTATTTGGATTGGTTATCTCTTTGGCAGTGCCTTAGCGGACCATACCGGGACCACACCAGACAAGACGATGGGCAGTCACTGGACCATGTGTGTGGCCCCCAGATTCTCAGGCAGCCACTCAGTACTCTTAATAGGTTAAAATTTGTTGCTTTGGTACAATATTTTAAAGTTTTTTCCTATACAGTACTGTCATTTCACACTGCCTGTATTGTGCATCTGCCCGCCATTTAGTCTTTCTTGATGTGCACTCTTCTAAGCCACATGCTTCCTGCTGCAAGAGTTTTGCTCCGATATACTTTACTGCTATACTTCTGCTTACAAAAAAGCCCTGGGTTAACCCCTGCCTACAGATACTGACACTATGCACCCTCTCACCACTGCCGTGAGTATATTCTGGGGGCAATCGATAATACAAAATCACCTGCACTCTATACAGCGTACAGACCTTGGATGAGAGGTTGGTGCTTGAAGTGACAACACGGATGGCGGCGTGTCAGATACAGTCCATAATAGAAGTCACCAGCACTCGATGATATGTGCAAGAAGTAAAGCACTTTCTATTAAATCGTCACATGCGTCAAACAGCCAATGTTTCGGGGCCACGCAGGGTCCCTTCTTCTGGGCGACATAGTGACCCCAGAAAAAGTTCTGGTGACTTCTATTATGGACTATATTCTGGGGGCACACACACATACAGGGATTTTACAATGGGGTGTTCAGGGGCCACTCATTCTGACCAGGCTTCTAGCGGGAGCTCTAACACCACTAGGGACATCATTACTGCTGATCCCATATGTTGTTCCTTGTCCACTTCATTACTGCTTTGGGGGTCCTCCACACCGTCTAAGACTCCTTCCTCTGACTTTATCTAGAGAGGAAAAATGATAGACCTTAACCTGGCTATGGGCCACAGGGGCTGTAAGCATGCCCCTTCTCCCACCCAATCAGAGAATCCCTCTGATACCCCCCGTTCCTTAATATCCAGATCAGCAAATGGAGAATTCTTCCTCTGCCCCAGAGGAAGAAGCCAGAAAACTCCTGCAGCCAAAGCTTCCACTTTTTCCATTAAAGAAAACTCCTTTCATCCTTCCAAGGCCTTAGGATCCAAGCACAAGCAAGGCTTTCAGATTCCAGTCCAGGAACAAGCCTGCTTCATAATGAAGAGGCACCCCCAATTTCTCAAGTGGGGAAACATCGGTCAGCCTTCTCAGTTCGTTATGCCTGGGTTGAAAGCATTGGGCCAGGGGATACAAAAAGCAGCTTTGAGCTCTTCCTCTCCCTCATTTCCTGTTTTCATCTCTGCCCAAGTTTCCCCAGAGATGGGTGGATTGCTTCGCTGCATTGGATCAGCTCCTCTCTCATAATACCCATACCGGAGTTTGAAAAGTTCCTGCTATACAAAAATATTCTGGATGGAATCCTCCCACATTGTCACCATCTCCTGGGCTCAGATAGGAGTCAGCACACGCTCTATCATACAGCATTCAGAGGACTATCCAAACCCTTCAGGACTGTGGTTGGATCTTTCCTATGGGTTTCCAACCTGGCATTGGAATCAGGAATGCCCTTCCTACCTATATCTTCGAAGGTACTGTTGATGGATAACAGCCTTTCAGTCTGGGGCAAAGTTCTGGGGAGCCTCTCAGTTCAAAGAGCCAGGTCGTTGTTGGAGTCTTGGCTCTTGATCAACATTCTGGAGCTCAGGGCGATTTGGCTGTCCCTTCAACAATGGACCCCACAGATGCAGGGTCATCCGACCAGGATCCAGTCTAATAACACCAGAGCTGTGATTAAACAATCATGGAAGCACCAGAAGCCATGCTTCTCAACACAAAGCAGATTTAATTAGGTTCCAGCCCTGTCTGCTGTGTATATTCCAGGCATGAAAAATTGGCAGGTGGACTACCGAAGCCATTAAAGTCTGTGTCCCGAAGAATGGTCCCTCCAGGTGGAGGTGTTTTAGGCCTTTTGTGACTGGTATGGGATGCCAGGCATGGACCCCCTGGCATCCAATTTTAACAACAAACTGGACAGATTTGTAGCCATTCAAAATATGCTTCCTGGCGCCGAGTGTCTGCTTGAGGTGGGATGGGATTGGGCTATGGTCGCAAGGGAGCTCCATCCGCACCTTTCATTGCTTACAGCTCCCTCACGTGTCCTATAGAGGTGCCTGGACCGGATTGACATCCCAGTCTGGCTCCCGACACCTCTACAGGGCACGCAAGGGAGCTGTTCAAGCAATGCAAATATGGATGGAGCTCCATCACAGCACAACAGTCCACTATGAACCCC